ATAATCTCCAAGACAACGTTGATGTACTCATTATGAGAGTAAATTTTGGCGACAGTTCTGAGAGTGAGATTTCTGACCTAGACGATGACTTGCAATGACTTATCTATTGCGTAAAATTTGTTAATTTATAAATTTGTAATTTTTAAATTCATTGTTTATTTATTATTGAACATACATAGAGACGGCTTCATAAGACTTCACACTGCATTCTCAGTGTCTCGCACTATAGAGGACAATAAAATCAAAAGCACCACATATCATTAACCTAGATAACTCCATATTGCACTTGCAACAAAATAAATTTAGTAATAATGCATTTTGTTTTCGTTTTAAGTTCATTTTTGATTTAGTTAACATAATATTACGTAGTTTAATAAATTACTAATAAAATGAGCTTTCAAATGAAGTGTCACACTTTACTATAGGTAATTATTATTACCCCGCTAAAAGGCGCTAAAATTAAAAGGAACCCAATGATTAGACATATTGCTGGATTCCCCATAAAATTAAATTTCCGACGAAGTGTCATACTTGGTACTTTCCCTATTTAAATTGTATTGGTTAGATTGACGTAGGGGAGAGGAATAACATATGAGAGAGTTGAGGATAATATAGAAAGGTGTTCCCCTTCAAATAAAAATCGACCTGTTTTCGTGATCTTTTTAAAAAGAATTACTCCAAGATATTCTGAGATATATCCGGTCGCTACCATTAATGAATCATCCTGTATATTGAGCTGCTTATTTATTGTGGAAAAGTGTCGCAAAAAATTTGCCAGAGGTGTTCTGTTTTTGGAAGATAGTGCACCTGCTTTCCTTGCTCATAAGATTGGTTTTCAGTTGGATAATTATTATCCACTCTATTCTGCAGGTTTATTATTTGTCCCCAAAACATAATACAAACGTAATTCACAGGTAATAATTTATAATTTATTCTTGGTATTTTATAAAAACATAATTTTTAATTTTACATATTACACGTATATTAGACACAGCTTGCTGGCAATATTTGAAGTGCTATTTTTGAGATTTGTAGGGGTGGGAGTAAAAAAATAAAGTATTGAAATTTAAAAACTGAATATTAATTAAAATTTTAAGCAATACATATTTTGGTGGCTTACTCTGCAACAAATATTGCCTCAGGAAAAAGTAATTTTTTAGTAAAATATTTACATATTTCAATTATTGGATAATATACGTAATTAAAACAAAAATTGTGACAGTTGCCGTATTTATAGAACAAAACTTTGGTAAATTATACCCATACTTTAGAAGTAGCAAACAAATAAAAAAACACATTTTTGCCTTATAACTTTTCACGGTCGTAACTCAGTAAAAGAGGCCAAGACGAAAAACGTTGTATGAAATACGGGTATCATTGTGACCCAATCTACATGCCTTTGGGACATAATGAATATTATATATAAAGTGTACCACAGTTATCACCGAAATTTACTGTTTTTACTTACCCAGGACTGCAAAAATCCCTAAAGATAAACAAAAAATAATGCCTTTCATTTTAACGGCAACGCTTGTTGAGTCGCCTTAACTTATACTGAAAAATTATAAATTAATTTATTTTAAAATTATTGTCTCAAGTGTTTTATTTTTTATTAATCTAAATACTCGTAATAATTGCTTATCAATGTAATGATAGATTGGTATTTTTAATAATCGGCAAACACGTTTATATTCTGGGACAAAATTTGTGATATAAAAGTAGGGCAAAAAATTTTCTATGATAAAACTAAAAATAAATCTTATACAAAGCTTTGTGGTGATCATAAGAGTGGGTATACAATATGTATAAAATGCAAAAAATACAGTACCATATTCAAATTTTAAAATGTTTTGCTAATGGGTAAATAGTACAATTTAAAGATCAGTTGATCCTTTGAACCTTTGATCCTTTAATCCTTTGACCTTTTGATCCTTTAATCCTTTGATCCTTTGATCCTTTGATCCTTTGATCCTTTGATCCTTTGATCCTTTGATCCTTTGATCCTTTGATCCTTTGATCCTTTGATCCTTTGATCCTTTGATCCTTTGATCCTTTGATTCTTTGATCCTTTGATACTTTGATCCTTTGATCCTTTGATCCTTTGATCCTTTGATCCTTTTATCTTTTGATACTTTTAACATCACTTCGTGTTAATCCATAAAACTTTTTTTCCATCAAAAGCAGATACTCTACCAACTGATCTTCTAACTTTTGTGGTAAGACCGCGGATCTTCCTAATTTTGTTTCAATAGCCTGGGCTGGTGTTGCATTTTACTTAGTTGAAAGACGGAATAATGTCGTGCGTGGAACATTAAATGTATCTGCGGCTTTTTTGTACCCCATCTCGCGACTCCGCACAGCTTCGATTGCACAAACCATGTCTTGTTTCCTCCATTCTTTACGGCCCATGATATTTTTCTGTAAAGAAGGCTAGGAATCAATATTTGAATTATTTTAACAGAAAGCTTTTGCAGTTTTCTCATGAAATTCTATAAAAAAAAAGCGAAGTGTTCCTAATATGGAATATTCTAATATAGGAACAGCGTGCTATTCCATATAAGGTACACCCGACCATTTTTCTTTTCGTTTACCAAAGTTACGTGGTAACACGCTAATCTTAGATTTCAATAGAGGAAACCTAAGCTAAAGTTATATAAACATACAAGACAGAATAGGATATTACTATGTTTATTCTAACTGGGTATATCAAAATTTGGAATACATACCTTAAATAATTTACGATGCCGCGTAAAAACCGATCGAACTGCGAAATAACAACAGTTACGTTAAACGGTTCATAAACGACTGCCAGCACTCTTGTCTTGGCGTAACATGGTATTGGTGATGTTGTGGCGGTGTTGCCGCTCTTGGTTTATTAAATTTTAGGGTATTCTATATAAGGAACATATTCCATATATGGCACATGTCCTCTACACCAGAAGTAACACAAGTGGATGACAGAAAATGCTTGAAGAGGGTTTTTTTATTGTTATAGACGTCTAAAATCATATATTTCATTGCCAGCAAAAAATGAAAAAATCCATCGATAAGCAACTTTAATTATAATAATAAGCAAAAAACACGATATGCCACCTTCTGCAGTCAGATGAGGGACTAGATTTTCCTGAATTCTTTAATAAGTTTTTGCCTTTGATCTAATCATATCCGAATATCAGGCTTTTAGAATCAGAAAAATAAGTGGAATTTTGGAATTTATAGTGGGTTAAATTATGAAAAAATAAGAACTATTTTAAAAGAAGTTTCTTCTAAATACTAGAAATGCTCTTTTAGCCCATGTACTATAATAAAAATATAAATACAAAATTAACAAAAAAATGTTTTGCTTCTTTGTGCATTATTTTTACGTTTTAAGAATAATTTAAAAAGACCGATGACGCTTCTTTATTAGAACCCTCTTTAGTCGATCGATATCGATGCAAAAAAGTAAGTTTATTAAAAAACTGCGCCCAATAGAAGCAACAGCAACTGGAAATTAATTGGTTCTATTTATAAATTTTGGAATGCAAATTAAACCTTTTTTAATTTAAGTAATGGTCGAAAATTTCTATCAACTTTAAGCTTGCGGGAAATTAAATTAAAACTCCAATTACTCAAATTAAAACGCAGATTAAGCCCTGAGAGTTAAAAAGGGTCCGAGCATTTTATCAAAATTAAAATATATCATTTTTTATCTTAGCAAGATAATAATTTTGCCGTCTCATTGTGACATCGTAAATCTATTATGTCATGAGATTTCTTTATTTTATGTTGATAAAGTTTAAGTATGATATATAATAAAGCTAGTAGGTACTTCAAAATAAAGTAAAAATACATTGTTAAAAGTTTTTTAACTAAATATTTATGTTTGAACTGGTAAGAGTGATGAGAATGTTGAATTGAATGCATGTTTCTGTTGAGAGTGAGTATTTTGTCTGATATCCTTAAAGTACTTATGTATCGTGGAGTTACTGCAAAAACAAATAACTCCACTTTTGGCATTTTAGAGTTAAGTACAGTTTCATCTCCAAAATAGTTCAAATCTATTAATTTATTTATTTATTTCCAAAGGAAAGACTTGTATTTCGTGCAAAACTTTTTAATTATTTAATGCAAAGCTCTTTCGGCTTATTTGCCATCATCAGTGCTTATTCTCCACAACGTATCCACCAAGTTCTTGGTCATCCTCACTCCCAAAATTAGATATTTCGGGATATTTACAACTTGTTAAATCATAATCTTAGTATTATTAATATTTTCAAATTTAAATTTATCTATTCATGTCAGACTATCA